ATGGATCTTGCAGATGAAGAAAGAAGACATATTGTCTAGGTTTCTCCAAGTGACAGATACTGACCTAACATACTTGCGGGATATAATACTCAACTTCATTATTGCTGGCAAAGACACAACTGCAGCCACGCTTTCTTGGTTCATTTACATGCTCTGCAAATATCCAATGATACAAGAGAAGGTTGCACAAGAAGTAAAACAAATGAGCAATGTCAAAGAGATTTCAGATTTTGCCAGTTTTGCTGCGAGTATGGGTGAAGAGGCTCTAGAAAAGATGCACTACCTCCATGCAACAATAACAGAAACTGTCCGGCTCTATCCTGCTGTTCCAGTGGTGAGGAATATCTCGATTTTTTCTTTCTCCACAGTCCATGGAAAGCTTGTGATCCTAAATTTGTTCGTAAAAGATATGTTAGTTTGCATTATTGAGTTATTTGATTCTCAGTGGTTAGTCACATTAGCTTTGAACTTTTAAGGGTTGGCCCACTAGGTAAAGGCCATTTTTCTTCAGGAAGTTGACCCACGCTCAAGCCTCAACGCTTCCCCCATCTTAGGTAGCACAAAATGCATTCAAACCCCTTCTTTGTTCACATAGAAAATGATAAGAAATATGATCAGTTAAAATTATTTTCTTAAGCTCTTGTGATCTTATTCTTTAATTTTGTTACGGTTGCTATCAATTAGCTTTTCAATTTAGACCTATCTGTTGGCTATTCTGATAAATTTTGAAATTATTGTTCCCTCAGGACTCGAAAATCTGCTTTTCTGATGATGTTTTCCCAGATGGGTTCAGTGTAAGGAAAGGAGATATGGTAGCCTTTCAGCCGTATGCAATGGGCAGGATGAAATTCATATGGGGCGATGATGCAGAAGATTTTCGTCCAGAGAGATGGCTAGACTCAAATGGAGTGTTCCGGCCCGAAAGCCCTTTCAAGTTTACAGCCTTTCAGGTCAGAAAAAAATGCACTTAAGTTCATTGGCATTGACCTGGGCCAGACCTTCATTCTTGCATGCACCTTCATTTTCACCTTTATATTGGTGTACTGCCAGAATTAAGTAATCTGGAAAGGACAAAATTACGTGTGTCATCTCGTTCATTTCTTCTCCATATACGGTCTTCATCTCAATAAGAACATCTACATTCAAGTTCTCTCGGATCAAGGAAACAGACTATTCGAATATCATCGACCTATAGCAAGTAGCAACCCAGTTCTTTTTTTTCCTTAAATTTTGTTTATCTTAGCATCTATTGTTGCTTAGCAGGCTGGACCACGGATTTGTCTCGGTAAGGAATTCGCTTACAGGCAGATGAAGATATTCTCCGCTGTGTTGCTGAGCTGCTTTACGTTCAAATTGGCTGATGAAAAGAAACCTGTCAACTACAGAACGATGATCAATCTTCACATCGATGGAGGTCTCCATGTTTTGGTCAACCACAGATATGAGAGTTAAGTTCTCCAATCTGTGAACTGTGTATTTGTTAAAAAGTAGTAGAAGAACCCAAAAAATAATACTATCATCGAAGAACGCTGGCCTTTTGCACCACTACAGCTCTGCAGTCTTCTTTCTCTGTGACAATGCTTGTCTGTAGAAGCAATCTAACCGAGAGGCAAAATGTTCTCCATACTGATCATCTGATTCGAGTATATGCGAAAATGTTTTGGACCTTCCATTTAGTGCTCTAAATTTCTTCCAGTTAAGTTTAAAGAATTCCGAGGATTCTTATTGATATGTGCTTGCTTGAAGATGGCAGAGCATGATGATTAATTTTCCCGGAGTAGATTAGAAGTCCTAAATTTGGTGGCTTTAAGAAGTTTTAATGAATTTACATTTGCTTGTGACCAATTCAGCTTGAGCTGTATAGACGTAGAATGATCAATTGTGTTAAACTATGTCCATTTTCTGGGTCTTCCATATCATTAGTGCCTCATCATCACAAGTAAATACAGACTTTGAAGTTCAAAGGGAAGGCGCAAGCTCTTCACAGAAGAATTTATTGGTATATTCGTTGATAACTCGTCGGCAAATGCTGTGCTTCAGATGGTGTTTCACAATGGATAACTTCCCTGATTTTTCAGGTGAAACACATGACTTTCCTTGGCAAGTTGAGCTGCCAATACAAACAAGAATAGGGAATGGCCAAGACAGCAAATAATGCAGAGAAACTACAATTGTTTAAAAGGGAGATGCTCGGCGTCTAAACCAAATGAAAAACATGCGTGGAACGGTTCATTTAGCTCCTTTTGAGTGGATCAATGGAACACTAGCCTCACTAATCCAAATGTCAAACATGCCTGAAAAGTGCAAATAACTCCAACCGAATGGTTTGGTAAAAGTGTACTTTTGTCCCCTAACCTCCAAGTTTCGACTGAGTGATCAAGTGCTTGAACCAAGTGCTGACGGATCTTTGTGATGAAGCCTTGGCGTCTTAGACCTGGGTAACCCTCGAGGCCGCGCCCTCCATCTGTATGTGCGGCGAGGCGGTTTGCGTGTATACGAAGGAAAGTCAAGCTGAAGATTCCGAAACTCCATATTATCTGGTTAAAAGTGATACTTGTCCCCTGGGCCAAATGGCAAACATGCCCGAAAAGGGCAATAATTTCAGCCTTCTGTGCCTTCACCGAATTTCCTCTGCATTGGATAGAACTGAAGAACGCATGTCTTGTGGGCCAAATGCCAAACATGCCTGAAACGAGCAAGAAACTCCAATCTTAACAGAGTTTTGAACTACAAATGTCAAACGTTTCGATGTATGTCCTTTTACATGCTGTGCTAGTAAAGAATCCCAAGTCCTTTTGGTTAAAGCGAATTTGTACATATGAAGAGAGCAGGTTGTGAGGATGAATTGCCTCAGAAAGATCTTTTTGCTTATTGTTTTGTTGGGATGCATCCTCTTCAACCGCATGAAGCCATTTATCTTCAAGAGTAAGAATCCTCATCGCCTCCCTCCCAATCCCCGTCCTCTTCCGGTCATCGGAAAATGTTTTCGAGCTCGGGTAAAATCTCCATAATGCCGTCGCCGAACTCTCCAAAACATGTGGGATCCGTAATGAACCTTAAGCTAGGGAGCATCACGACCATGGTCATTTCATCCCCTGAACCGGCCAAGCAAGTGTTAAGCAACCAGGTCCTGAATAGCTGGCTGGTGCCGGACGCCATCCGATTCCTAGATCACCACGAGTACTCGGTTTTGTCCATTCCCATTTCCGACTACCGGCATAAAATAAGAAGGATATGCTATTTCGAGATGGCCTCTCCTGGAAGCTTGACTCGGATTAGGACCTCCTCGAGAAAAACATGGCACATTTTCTTCCCCACGAGTCCTAAACCTATTGTACGGCGGCCAATTCAGTTATAAACTTTTCAATTTAGTCAATTTAGTCATAAACCTTTTAACGATTTATCAATATAATCCTTTCAGCAAATTTTTGCTGGAAATCACTAACGTGGACGCCGACCGTCCTACTATGTGGCGCGACTGGTGATGATGTGGACAATTTTCATAATTTTTAAAATTTTCTGATTTTTTTTAAAATTTTGTTCATTTTCTTTATGTTCTTTCTTTTCATTTTTTGTTCACTATGGGCCGGCAACCCTCGCATTCTCTGCAATCAAGCTGTTACTCTAACATTTCATTTACATTCAAGTGATCAGACTTTTAGTTTTAAATTTGAATGTGATAAAACTAGGCAAGTGTTTGGCATTAGGGAGATTACTTATTCGTTGGTTTTGCGGTTCATCTACAACTATCAATCCTAGATAGTGCTTGCTACGTGCAAATCCCATCTGTCCTATAGCTCCATTCATCGTTGGTTTTGGATCTTAAGAATAAAATAAGTTAAACCCTCTCAGGATCCTTTCTTACGTCTCAAACAAGAGCTTTGCAAAGACAAGATTGCACAAAGCGCGTCCATCGTTTGACTACATCGGTCGGATTGCTCGATCGGATTGGCACTTTGATGCTTAAGTCTGTCCGTGACGGGGGATAAGTGTGTGAAGCTTTCGAGAGGAACAGGAGAAAACGAGAACCTGTTTTTGATCTTAGAGACAATTATACTGCGTACTTTGCATGCACGAAGGTTGATTGTCGTTAGGTGGAGGCCCAATTATGACAAGTGGCAATATGTCGCAACTAGTGTAACATGTTTTAAACAGTGGCCATCAAACCGTCCTTAAGGGCCAATGGGTTCTCAGCCTTTAGATAGTAGTAACATTTTTGCCTCCTCCGATAGGATGAGATTTAAGCGTGGGCTCAACTCATCATTCGAGGTTCATTCATCCTTAACAATGCCCCGTGGGGGGCAGAGTCACTCATCTCGTCACGCATAACGAGGACACGTGATGTTGCCTAGTGGCTAGCCAAGTCCATCATTATCAATACCTGGTCAATTGCATGTGCGCACCCCAAAATCGAATCCCATAATATAAAAAAAAAACCATAAGTTCTAGGACCATCACCATACATCGTTGATGGAACGAGTCTGTTAAGATATATGCGTGAGTTGTGTTAAAAAAATCCAACATCGAAAAACTGACGCGGTGAAAAGCAAGTAATATATCAAACTTGGTCCATAACTCTTTGGCTTAAGCTTTTGAGTCAATGTGGATTCAACTGGAGATGTTGACGGGCTCGGACTTGACCTCTCTCCTGGCGATCTCTACATCAACAAAGTCCTACACATTCTTTACGGTTTTTAAGTAATTAGACTTTACGTTGTCACCATAAAAGTATCAACCATAGCCACGAGTCCTATCAGGGTTCTGGATATTCAAAATCGATCCCGCACAAAACCGCATTCAGGTCTAGTAGTTCGAGTTCATCAAAATCCACGTATCGTGTCAAATCGATGCGGGCCGTACGTGGGATTCGCAAAGTAGGCAATGACAACCGACCCGACCTACTAGACAAAAGTGCCTATTAAGTATCAACCATAGCCACAAGTCCTATCGGGGTGCTGGATATTCAAGATCGATCGGCACAAAGCCGGCATTCACCTACTAGACAGAAGTGCCTATTTCTTTATCCGAAGTGCCGTTAAGGATTCCCACATCCAAGGGTGTGCCCTGTAAGAACCGCCGAGGGAAAGTGTAAACACGCGATTAGCACGCCAGTCAACAGCTGCTGCTCCTCCCCCCAGCTCCGCCCTTAAAAAGTCAACTCGAATCCCCCGATCAATCAATACATACCTCCGAGGAGATCATCAGAGAGAGACCCACCAAGACGACCTGCCCCCAAAAAGGTCGCCAGATCAGACGCCTCGCAATGGCCCCGGCCGCGACCAATCCGACGGCCATCGCGCTCTTCTGCCTCCTCCTCATCGCCGCCGCCTCCTCCTCCGCCGCCGCCGCCGCCGCCGCGTACACCAACTACACCGTCGGCGGCAACTCCGGCTGGTTCTTCGACGAGGCCACCAACGCCACCTCCGCCAACTACTCCGCCTGGGCCGCTTCCCAGACCTTCAACCTCGGCGACTACCTCCGTAAGCACATTCCCTCGTTTCTCAGCATTTTCGCACGAGCTCAGCTGATTGTGGCGGTGATGGGTTAGGGCAGAGCTCGCGTTCGATTGTTGCTAATTTCGACGCTCCGATTCGTCGCGAATCGCTCGATTGATGGGTTTTTTTTTCCGAATCTGATTTTACTTCTCCTGATTTGGGTGATCTGCGCGCAGTGTTCAACACGAACACGAACCAGACCGTGATCCAGACCTACAACCTCACCACCTACCAGGCCTGCAGCACCGACGACGCCTCCGACGACGACACCTTCCAGTACGGCGGGGGCAGCGAGCAGTTCGGGGAGGCGTTGTCCGTCGCGGTCCCGCTGACCCTCGAGGGCCCGAACTACTTCTTCTCCGACGCCGACGACGGCGCCCAGTGCCAGGACGGGATGAGGTTCGAGATCGACGTCAAGCACGGCGCCGGCCTGCCCCCGAGCCTCAGCCAGCCGCCGCCGCCGCCCCCGTACGCCGAGCCTCCCGGCCCGGACGCGGCGAACCCGCTGCCCGTCGCGGTGGTGGACACGCCGGGGAACGGCGGCTCCGGCGGGGGCGCGGGCGGGCGCGGGCCAGCGTGGGGCGTCTCTCTGCTGTTGGCGACGCCTCTATTGTTTTTCTGAATCTTTTCTTTCTCGCGACTTTGCAAGAGGGCGGGGTAACATTTGGTAATTTTCGCTGTTGTCGGAGGGCTTATGTGGAAATTCGAACAGGCACATGTTGGGTCGATCGGGGGGGGCCCTGTCCTTTTCAGTTATCGTTGAATTCGTCAAATGTTTCGATTAAATTACAGAGACAGCTCTAAGACAACGTGATTTTTTTTCCCTTTTTTTTCTCTTTCTTTTTTATTTTCTTTTTGGCGGTGTCGGTAGAATTTCCGAATTCGTTCTGTTCTTCATTTGGTGTCGGCATTAGTATTATATTTGTGATTGCTGTTGTTGGAATAATTGTATCGAAAATGACATATGAAGGTTATAGGAATATGACACTTTGGATTATAAACGAAAAGATGTAGCATAGATCGCCGCCTACGACAGCTTCGTTTTCTGTACCTAGCAATGCTAAGGATTTGCAAACCCCATTCACACCAAAGAGAAGTCTTAAAAAGGGTGAAACATTGCACAAAACCGTCGTTCCAAGCACTTCGTCGAGTAACTCACTTCGATGTGTGGGGTGATGTGGTAGAGCCTTGTTGTTATTTGGCGTAGGATATGATGTAGTGAATGAATATTCGTTTGTTAATTGAGGTGAAAAGATAGAGAAGGAAGTAAGGACGATGCATGCAAAAAAACAAAGGGAGAAAGGCATCGGAAGTGCCTGAACTTTTTTGAATGAGAGTTAATATCACGAAAAACTTCAAATTGGCATATATGTGATAAATTTACCTCAAACTAATTTTTTTAGCACGAAAAACCCTAAACTGGTACATCTGTGATAAATTTACCCAAAACTAATTTTTTGACCAGCAAAAACCCTCCAAAACGGTACACATGTGACAAATTTACCCTCAGTTAATTTTCATTAAATTTTATTGTTAAATTTGTTGACCCGCATGACATATGATGACGTGATATGAGAACATGAACATAGGGTAAATATTACGAAAAACCTCAAATTTGTACACCTGTGACAAATTTGGGATTTTCGTGGTATTAACCTTGTGGATTTCCAAGTGGACTTGCCACATCACTATGCCAAATCAACATGTGTCATCAATGTCAGCAAATTTAACGGTAAAATTTGACGGAAATTAACTAAATGTAAATTTGTTACAGATATATCAGTTTAGGGTTTTTTATGGTCACAAAATTAATTTTGGGTAAATTTGTTACAGGTGTACCAATTTGGGATTTTTTGAGATGAAAAATTAGTTTTGGATAAATTAGTCACATGTGTACTAGTTTGGGTTTTTTCGTGATATTAACCCTTTTAAGGTATATATTTCTTTTTAATTCGAATTTATTTTTTTGTCAAAACTATGAAAGGAAATGCTAACATGGCTTTTTATATAGTATTTTTAAAATCAAGAAATACTTAGAAATAGTGAATATTAAAAAATAAATATTAAAATATAGAAAAAAAAAAGAAACTTGAAAGAAAAAAGATCAGACTCGAGTCGGGCGATCAATGTGGGGTGATCTCCAATTACGCCTGGCATGGTCACGGTCACACGACCCTAGCCCAAATCTAGCCCAGTTAACACGACCTAGCCCAAATCTGGCCCTCGCTAGGGTCACATGGCCTTGGCCAAGCGTCCCCTATGGTCCCTAACCCTGAAGACAGCCAACAAGGCTTGTCGGTCCTCGCCTATGCTTGGGCACCGCCGGCGCCACCTCCCTTGTCTTCTCTCTTTCTGTCTCTTTTGGGGTTTGTTTTTTTTTTTAAAATTCAAATATTTTATATAGTTAATACCTAAAAACAATTTATCCAGTTAGCATTGACGCGATAGTTACGAGTCAGTCCACCTCGCATTTCCATTTTTTTGTTTAACTGAAAGACCAATTAAAAAAAAATGTATGCTTTAAGAAGCCAATAGAACAAAAACAAAAATAAGTTCAAAAAACTATGTTTGAAGTCATCTCTATAGCTAATTTTCTAAATTTGAGCTTTTGTGATTCTCTTTAGTATATTTTCTTAGATTATTATCAAAGAAAAACTCATAAATATTTGCTATTTTGGTTTTGCTTAAAGTCAAACAAAAAAAATTCCCATAAAAAGAATATTTAAATGTTGAAATATTGTAAATAAACTAAACTGACTTTAGATGCTGACATTTATATATCTTTACAAATTTTTAGTGTTTAATGCATAGATGAAAATTTACTGCTATGCATGTTAATCCGCACTTAGCAAGTTAATGTCGAATATAATTAGAACTCAATTGATGAAAGAAGTATGGTATCAAAAGGGCATTGGGGGTCACTAATGGTTGCTTTTATTTCGGTTTAGGTGGTTAAATAAACTTTCTATCGATACCTAAGATTAGGTTTTCAAATGACTTAGGATAAAATAGATTAGTTTGCAACTTATCATCTAATAGATTACCTAAACCCGGATTAAGAAATCCTTTCGGGAACATGAGATCCTACAAAAATTGGTGAATTTATGTTTTTAGATTTTAGGTTTCTACCATATACTTTGAGTTTCAATCGTTCTGTTCCATGCACTAAATCTAAATTTATGTAGAAATCATTAATATGTGGATTTTGTTTTTCATTTGAAAAATAAAGATGAAATCTTATTTTTTAAATCATTTTACAACTTTTTACTTTGTGGCAAATTACATAAATCAAAGTATACGAGGTTGCAAATGGAAAATTGATGTCGACCTCGCTAATAATACCGGAAGCTCATGCTTTGTCTACCAACGAAATAATGACACGTGGAAGTAAATAACGATGCCTTGTTTTGCTATTGTTTCGCTAAGGTAGAGAAAGTGACTCTGGAGAAAATTCAGATAGACGGGACCGACAGGATCCTTGATTTATGGAATTTATTAAGAAGGTCGATACACGAGAGTGGACTATTAAATTAAGAAGGGAAAATGACCTATATAGTCCAAAACTTTGGGAAAATGTGCAATGTAATTCATAGACTTTTAATTTGCTCAATTTAGCTCCTGAATTATAGCAAAATGTGTAATGTGATCTATGAACTTTCAATTTGTTCGATATAGTCCCTGAAATTTTGGTACTTGTTCAATTTAATCTCCGAACTATACGAAAATGTTCAATGTCGTCCCTGAATTTAAATTAATAGAAAGATAACAATAAATAATTTAATATAGTTCAGGAATTCAGTTGAATAAATACCAAAATTTCATGGATCATATTGAGTAAATTAAAAATTTAGGGACCACATTGCTTATTGAGTTAAAGTTCATAGAGCACATTGAACAAATTAAAAGTTAAGAGACCCCATTACACATTGAGCCAAAATTCATGGGCTAATTATGCCGATTAAGAACCTTTAAAAGTCAATACCGTAGCTACATCGAATTGTAGCGTTACTTTTGGGAAAATTACTCAATCAATCCTAAACTTATTAAAGAGATGCCAATTTAGTCCCGAACTTTTCAATTTTGCGAATTCAATTCTAAACTTTTGCACAAAATTCTAACGTGGTCATTTCAATCGATTTTTACCGAAAATTGCAAATGTGGCAGAGTGCCACGTAAAATGGCCGGCAATAACTGGATCGCCCCATCGGCGATTTCCGATGGAAATTGACCGGAAGGACTATATTGAAATTTCACGCGAAGACTTAGGACTATATCGATAAAATTGAAAATTTTATATTTAAATTATCACGAAAAAAAAAGAGTAGAGTAAAGTTGGAGCTTGTTTGGAAAGCACGTAGCTAGGGAGAAGCTAGTCCTAACTTAAAGCACTGGCGCGGGGGGGTTTACGCAAAAGGAGGCGTGGAAATTGCGGTGAGATTGGCATATACTCGCCGGACGAGAAATCATTGCATAGGCGTATCATCACGTTCGCACCGACTAGGAATTAATCCGGATCAACATGATCACATCCGCGTCCTATATCACGCGGACTCCATGTGGGTCTCGTCAAATTGGACGATTCTAGTTCAATTTAGGATATGTTTGTTTGAGTGAAACTATTGTTCGGGAATAAATTTTTTGGGCTTTCACATGTTTGATTCGCTGAAAAATTATCAGTATGAGGAAAGCCAATTACCGTCGGAGAAAATATAAATGTTTAAAGTTAGGAAAATAATTTTTCATTCATCATGAAGGTTTTTCAACACAGCCCGTCGCGGTGGTGAACACGCCGGGGAACAGCGGCTCCGGCGGGGCGTGGGCAGGCGGGGGGGCGGCGCGGGGCGTCTCCTTGCTGCTGGCGACTCTGTTGTTTTTCTGATTTTTTTCTTTTTCGCGACTTTTCAGGAGGGCGGGGTACATTTGGTAATTTTCAGTGTTGTCGGAGGGCTTATGTGGGAATTCGCACACGCATATGTTGGGTCGATCGGGGGTGCCCAGTCCTTTTCAGTTAAAGTTGAATTCGTCAAATGTTTCGATTAAATTACAGAGACAGCTCTAAGACAACGTGATTTTTTTTCCTTTTTTTCTCTTTCTTTTTTTTTTTTTATGGCGGTGTCGGTAGAATTTTCGAATTCGTTCTGTTCTTCATTTGGTGTCGGCATTAGTATTATATTTGCGATTGCTGTTGTTGGAATAATTGTATCGAAAATGACATATGAAGGTTCTAGGAATATGACACTTTGGATTAAAAACAAGAAGATGTAGCATAAATCGCCGCCTATGATAGCTTCGTTTCTGTACCTAACAATGCTAAGGATTTGCAAACCCCATTCACACCAAAGAGAAGTCTTAAAAAGGGTGTGAACCATCGCGCATAACCGTCATCCCGAGCACTTCATCTAGTAACTCACTTCGATGTGTGGGGTGATGTGGTAGAGCCTTGTTGTTATTTGGCGTAGGATATGATGTATTGAATGAATATTCGTTTATTAATTTAGGTGAAAAGATAGAGAAGGAAGTAAGGATGATGCATGCAAAAAAAAAAACAAAGGGAGAAAGGCATCGAAAGTGCCTGAACTTTTTCGAATAAGGGTTAATATCACGAAAAACTCCAAACTGATATATATGTGACAAATTTACTTCAAACTAATATTTTGAACACGAAATACCCCAAACTAGTACACATATGGCAAATTTACTCCAAACTAATTTTTTGACCAGCAAAAACCCACAAAAGTACACTTGTGACAAATTTATTCTTGATTAACTTTCACCAAATTTTATCATTAAATTTGCTGACCTGGATGAC